AAGCATAATGTAAAATATTATCAAAGTACAACAAAAGACATGTACGCGAGGTTGCCTTGAAAATAATCTAATTCTCACATTGCCATGAACATGCAAACAAATTGGTGATATAAAACGACAAAGTTTTTAATCATAGCAAAACGCATGGCATTTGGAATCAACAAAACCGATGTAAAAGAGCGTTGTTGTAAAAAAAAAAAAATGGTCCTTACATTGGGCTTTAAACTCAACTGATGTAAAAGAGTGGCCCTTACATCGGGCCATAATCCCAACCGATGTAAAAAATCATCTCAACTTGACAAAATCCTGTTGTAACTTTTCATAAGTTTAAGTCGTATGCGCTTCATTTTTCGCTCTGCTACCTCACACCCACGTCCTCGCCGTTCGGATGTCTTCTACCTTCTCCCTCCGCCCGTCGACCTTCTCCTTGCCTCTAATTCATAATCCTATTTATAATTTTGCATCCATAATTCACTAGGGTAGGAAATACATTTTACATAAGGCGAAAAATATGTTTTACATCGGGTCTTGGTCCGATGTTAATCCAAGTGATGTAGTAAATCAAAGATATTTTACATCGGGCTACAGACCAATGTAAAAATTCAACCTATTACATCGGTTAGTTTTTAGAACTGATATAAAAAAAATAAAAAAATAAAGGCAAGCTTTTACATCGGTTTTCTTAATATACTCTATGTAAAAAAATGTTTTTTACATCGGTTTTCTTAATATACTAGATGTAAAATACTTGTTTAATATGCCATATTTAATTAAATCAGGTGCATTCTTGAAATTTATTTATTTTACCTAATTTTTCATATTTTTCAAACATCACAACCACATTTAATTTAATCAGGTGCATTATCGGAATTTATTTATTTGCACCTAATTTTTCATATTTTTTCAACATCACAACCACATTTACATCCCCAAATATTTTTGATTGCACCAAATATCTAGGATGCACATTTATATTCTTCAAAGCAAACTATTAAGTTATAAAAGTATTAATCTAGGATAAGGAAGTGTACACAATCATAAGGAAGTTTTCGAAAGGTGGATTACTACAACAACAAAATCAATAAAATTATACAAAAATATCCATACTTGAAATACCAACATGCAATCCACAAGAAGATGGGTTGTAACTTCAGTAGACAACACCAAAATCACATATGCTAACAAGAAATAATAACATAAATTAACATCAGCAGACAACACCAAAATTAAAAAACTCAAATCAGATATGTATAGACAATTCTAAATAACTCACCAATTCTAAAATATTATCAAAGTACAACAAAAGACATGTACGCGAGGTTTTTGAAAATAATCTAATTCTCACATTGCCATGAACATGCAAACAAATTGGTGATATAAAACGACAAAGTTTTTAATCATAGCAAAACGCATGGCATTTGGAATCAACAATTCTTATCAGTATAGGCCATAGGGATCGGGATCAATATAACCATCTTCGACTGGATCTACATACTCTCTTCATTCTCTTTTATAATAAAATTTTAACTTTATAGATTAATTTAATAATTAATGTATCTAACTTATAGATAATTTAAATACATTATTTATTCAATAAATCTAAAATTTTTTTCTTATAAAAGAGAATTGAGGAAATATAAAAAAAAATAATCATCAGAAGAGTAGTTTTCATCTTCAAACCGTCTGGGCCACTGAACAGATTTAATCTGCTCAACGCATCTTTGTTGCAAACTTTCAGTGAAATCAAGATTAAAGCAACCTAGAAGGTTGAGAGATTCAAGAAGAGGACATGCGTCTAGAATTGCAAGCAGTCCATCATTATAGACCTCATTTCCTGGCATTGTTTCAGCAATCATAAAACCATCTTCATTAGAAGAATGACTATTGAATCCATACCTTGCAAATTTGAAGGATTTCAAAAGTGGGCAAGAACGGCCAATAACATCAAGAGAATAAGTCAATCGCCCGGAGTATGAAATGTCCAGCTCCTCTAACCGTGGAAGTTTCCCCACAGCTTCACAGAATACCTTACTTGAAATATTTAGACATTTTGCAAGCCTCAAACATCTTATATTGGCACTGTAAATTTTGAAATTTAAAGATTAAAAAATATATGACCTATTTACATACATATATAGAGCCATAGTTAAGCAATGCCACATATTAAGAAGATAAAAATAACAAAAACAATGAGAAGAGTAACAGCACATTCAATTTCGAGAAAATATTAACATGAAAAATTACTTGTCAGCTATGCATTCAAGGAGATCATCGGTGGCAAAATATTCAATATCAATGTCTTCTAGACGACCACAACTCCGTTTAACAGCAAAGCGACAAATCTTTTCTAAATCGTCACAAGAGTAGGGTGTATGCATAAGAAAGGGTATGCGAATGGTGTGCCACATGAGAGGATCCTTGCATATGTTCCACCATAGAGGACAAACATGGCATGCATTTGTCACAACTTCTGTGGTGCCAAGCCTCTGGAGTATGTTTGTTGTAATGTCTGTTGGAAGTTCAAGCCAATTTGGCTTCGTTGTGCTCTCACATTCTGCTTCCTTTGCAGGAATAGAACAATTTGCCATATGAAATATTCAAACGAAATGGTTGTAAAATTGTTTCCGAATTATAACATTTTATAGTGAATATGAAATTTTCTAAAAGTGATACGTCATTTCCAATAGTCTTTGAATGCGAAACGTTAGTGACTTGCTAAGAATAAAATTGGTTGTTTCCAAAGATAATTAAAGTTTCTCTCTGTTTCCAATAAACGTTTCTTGCTAACACTTGAGTATTACTACTTTAAAAACACTCGAGTTCTTTCTTTCTATAATTTTATTAGTAAGATACTAGCACCTTGTATTTATTATTTTACAAAATACAGTAAATTTGTAAAAAAATGTTATTAAATAAGATGTTAGACAGAAAATTAATAATAATAGAATAAATAATTAAGAAATTTTAAAATATCTATTATCTATTATTAATATAATGGAGTTAATTATCAATATAATTGAGTTAATTTGTCGGCCTAAAGAAGAAGGAGGTCTTGGCATAAAACATTGCGGAAGATTTAATATTGTACTTCTTAGAAGTGAAAGTGGAGAATTTTATACGATGAGAGTGTTTTTTGGACTAACTTACTTTCTTGCAGGTACGGCGATATTAAAAGGAAAATGCTTGATGATTCTAATCTCCGATTAGGATCTAAAGTATCTCTTTGGTGGAAATATCTGTATGCGATTGGTGCTAACACGGTTGCTTCGGATGAGAATTGGTTTTGCACTTCTATTTCATGCAAGCTTGGGAATGGTGAATTCCTTGATTTTTGGAGAGATAAGTGGTTCGGTTCGACGCTGTTGTACATGTTATTTCTTGAGCTTTTTTCTTTGGCTGATTTGGGTAATGCTTAGATTAATGACAATGGTTTTTGGGCCGATACAGTTTCAACTTGGATTGTGCGTTTTTCAGCACCGATTTCGAACCATGTTGCGGTTGTTTCAGTGGCATAATTACTTTCAATTTTGTACTCAATTCAGCCTGTTCGGGAGCAGCCTGATTGTTAAGTTTGGTGGCGTCATTCTAGGGGTTTCTCGATGAAGAATTATTATGATTTGATTCCCTCCACTTGTGTGAATAATATTCTAATTGCGGATGACGTTTTGGTGGCTTTAAGATCGATGTGGAAAACTAAAATTTCAAGTAAGTCTCTTTTCTTTGGTTGGAGATTGTTGTTGAATCGTCTTCCGTCTAGAATCAATTTGTTTAAGTGTCGTATTGTGCTCGATCCCCGTAACTTGTGTTGCCCTCTTTGCTTGCGGGAAGAAGATGTTGAACACCTCTTTGGTGGTTGTCAAGTCTCTTTAATGTGGTGGATACAAATGTGTGATTAGCTCAATGTGGATTTTCGGATTGGTAATTTGACTATTCTTGAGTATCTTTTTTCTTTAGAGGCGTCTACGCGGTCTAGATTTCTTTTAGGCTCAGGTTGGATTTTTGGATTAGCCCTTTGTTAGTCTATTTGGTCGTATAGGAACGTCATTCTTTTTTAAGGAGGAATCATTGCTTCTCTAGATGGTTTATGTATGATGAAGCTTTTGTCATGGGAGTGGTTTCTTCCTAATTGTAAACTGGATAGTCATTTGTTTTTATTTGAGTGGTGTGTCTCAGACTATTTGTTTAGGAGCTCCATAACTTTATTTGAGCTCTGTTTGTAACTTATTTTTGATGGGTTGTGGATCCCTTATGCTATTTATTTTAGTAATTTCTTGCCTATAAAAAAAAGATTGCCTAAGCTGAATCACACAGTTAAGTGGGTGGTAAAGTAAATGGCTTTTAGTTTTCATATATAAAATATTGTAAGTTTTTTTTTTTACAGAAACATATTTACCACCAGTAATTGAGTAAGTTTTCATATATGAAATTACTCAATTAGTAAGTGCTTATTGAATTAAACAAATTTATAACTTTTTTGCCCAATGTACAATAATCAATCACAAAATACCATTTAATTTTAACATATTTAATAATTTATTAAATAGTATAATTGTTTATTGTTTCTAAGACTTTTACACTTAAAATAATTTCATCCAACTTTTTAAGTCAGGTAGAGAAGAATTCACCTTAAATAAATATAAATTGTTGGTAAAAAATTCGATCCCTAATCAAAACATTATTTATATTTACACATTAATATAAACAACTTGTTAAATATTTAAAAACGAAAAAGATTTTTTAGAATTCCGTTATATATACATTTTGCATAAAAAGCCAAAATTAAAGTAATTCATCAAACAAATACAGATTACTTGAACACAATTCTGATTCATAAATCATGTAAAGCATTATCAAAGTACAACAAAAGACATGTACGCGCGGTTGCCTTGAAAATAATCTAATTCTCAGTTCGCCATGAACATGCAAACAAATTGATGATATAAAACGACAAAGTTTTTAATCATAGCAAAACGCATGACATTTGGAATCAACAATTCTTATCAGTATAGGCCATAGGAATCGGGATCAACATAACCATCTTCGTCTGAATATACATAGAAATAATCATAATCATCAGAAGAGTAGTCTTCAGAAGAGTAGTCTTCATCTTCAAACCCTGTGGGCCACTGAACAGATTTAATCTGCTCAACACATCTTTGTTGCAAACTTTCAGTGATATCAAGATTAGAGCAACCTCGAAGGTTGAGAGATTCAAGAAGAGGACATGCGTCTAGAATTGCTAGCAGTCCATCATTATAGACCTTACTTCCTTCAATATCAAGATGACGTAGTCCTTGCATTGTTTCAGCAATAATAAAACTATCTCCGTTAGAAGAATAACTCTTGAGTCTAAGCCTTGCAAATTTAAAGGATTTCAAAAGTGGGCAAGAACGGCCAATAACATCAAGAGAAGTCGATAGCCCGGAGTATGAAATGTCCAACTCCTCTAACATTGGAAGTTTCCCCACAGCTTCACAGAATACCTTATTTGAAATATTTAGACATTTTGCAAGCCTCAAACATCTTATATTGGCACTGTAAATTTTGAAATTTAAAGATTAAAAAATATATGACCTATTTACATACATATATACAGCCATGGTTAAACAATGTCACATATTAAGAAGATAAAAATAACAAAAACTATAAGAAGAGCAACAGCACACTCAATTTCGAGAAAATATTAACATGAAAAATTACTTGTCAGCTATGCATTCAAGGAGATCATCGGTGGCAAAACATTCAATATCAATGTCTTCTAGACGACCACAACTCCGTTTGATAGCAAAGCGACAAATCTTTTCCAAATCGTCACGAGAGTAGGATGTATTCCTAAGAAAGGGTATACGAATGGTGTGCCACATGAGAGGATCCTTGCATATGTTCCACCATAAAGGACAAACATGGCATGCAATTGTCACAACTTCTGTGGTGCCAAGCCTCTGGAGTATGTTTGTTGTAATGTCTGTTGGAAGTTCAAGCCAATTTGGTTTCGTTGTGCTCTCACATTCTGCTTCCTTTGCAGGAATAGAACAATTTGCCATCTGAAATATTAAAACGAAATGGTGGTAAAATTGTTTCCGAATTATAACATTTTATAGTGAATATGAAATTTTTTAAAAGTGATACGTCATTTCCAATAGTCTTTGAATGCGAAACGTCATTGACTTGCTAAGAATAAAATTGGTTGTTTCCAAAGATAATTAAAGTTTCTCTCTGTTTCCAATAAACTTTTCTTGCTAACACTTCAGTATTACTCCTTTAAAAACACTCGAGTTCTTTCTTTCTATAGTTTTATTAGGAAGATACTAGTACCTTGTATTTATTATTTTACAAAATACAGTAAATTTGTAAAAAAATGTTATTAAATAAGATGTTAGACTGAAAATTAATAATAATACAATAAATAATTAAGAAATTTTAAAATATCTATTATCTATTATTAATATAATGGAGTTAATTATTGTTGTGAATTCAATGCCAATAACAAAGTATAGAATAAGGGAAGAATAAAAAACAATGAAAGAGAAGAACACAAGAATTGGTTATAACTGCTATTATTTACTTTCTCTTAGAAAACAAGATTACAAGTTTACAAGAATAACAAATAACCCTCTCACCCTAAATTAGGATTTGCTGTGTTGCAATGATGAGAGACTAGTATGCTATTTATAATAAAACCTAACATACTAACTAATGGGCTTTTTCCACAAGGCCCATTATACAAGCTAACTTAATAATCAAGCTAACTTAACAAATTAGGGTTTAAACACTAAAACCTAATTTAACAAGCATTCTTCGACAAATACATGCTTCGACTACAGCATGTACTTCGATCATGCTAGAGTTCGATCCAAAATCCCACAAATCTCCACCTTGGACCTAACTCTACAGCATCAAGAGACACTAACTAGCTTTCTTCATGCAGCTTTATCAACTGCATACAGTGGAAAAACTTGCAACTTGGCAATGTTTTGGTGATCATATCAGCGGCATTGTGATCTGTCGAGACCTTCAGCACTTGGACTTCTCCACGCTCGATTACCCCTCTGACGAAATGCAGCCTCACATCTATGTGCTTGGTTCGCTCATGATAGGCTGAGTTCTTCGACAGGTGTATTGCACTTTGACTATCACATTTAACAGTGATATCTTGACCTTGAAGTTTCAACTCCTTTGCAAAACCTTCAAGCCACAATGCTTCTTTCACAGCTTCAGTTAGGGCAATATATTCTGCTTCAGTAGTTGATAAGGCAACAACCTTCTGAAGAGTTGCTTTCCAACTAATTGCTGTACCAAACATAGTGAAAACATATCCAGAAATAGATTTTCTGGAATCCATACAGCCTGCATAATCAGAGTCAACATAGCCTTCGACTGCTGCTTTACTATCTTCACTCAAGGCTCCACCATAAATTAAGACTCTGTTCAGAGACCCATTTATGTACCTTAGAATCCACTTTAACGCTTGCCAGTGAGCCTTTCCAGGATTCGCCATGTACCTGCTTACAAGACTTACTGCATATGCTATGTCGGGTCTAGTACAGACCATAGCATACATCAAAGAACCAACTATATTAGCATATGGGATGCTATTCATATAGGTTCTTTCAACATCAGTACTGGGACATTGATCAATACTCAGCTTGAATTGAGGGTTTGTTGGAGTCACAACAGGCTTTGAGTTCGACATACCAAACTTGTCAAGAATCTTTCGTAGGTATGCCTCTTGAGATAAGCATAATTTCGACTGCTTTCTATCTCTTCGAATGTCAATTCCAAGAATCCTAGATGCAGCTCCCAGATCCTTCATGTCAAACTCCTTATTGAGTTCAGCCTTCACCCTCATTACTTCTTCGACATTGTTGCTTGCTATCAGAATATCATCAACGTAAAGCAACAAAATTACAAATGAATTTTCAGGTCGAAATCTGGAGTAAACACAATGGTCGAACTGACTTCTAATGAAACCTATGTGTTCCATGAACTTGTCGAATCTCTTATTCCACTGTCGAGGAGATTGTTTAAGTCCATATAAAGATCTCTTCAGTTTGCACACATAATCTTCTTTCCCCTTTTCGACATACCCTTCAGGTTGCCTCATCAGGATTGTTTCATCTAAGTCACCATACAAGAATGCAGTCTTCACATCCATTTGTTCCAGTTCAAGGTCGAACTGAGCCACCATGGCAAGCAACATTCGGATGGATCTGTGCTTCACAACAGGGGAAAATACATCATTGAAGTCGACACCTTCTTTCTGAGTGAAACCCCTTGCGACTAATCTTGCCTTGTACCTCTTCGACATTACTCCTTCAATTCCTTCCTTAACTTTGAAAATCCACTTACAGCTGACTAACCTTGCCCCAACAGGTTTCTTGATTAGTTCCCAAGTGTGATTATCATGGAGAGATTTCATCTCATCATGCATGGCCTTTAGCCATTCAGTCTTCATTCGACTCCTTATAACTTCCTTATAATCTCTAGGTTCTTCGTCTAGAACTTCACTTGCAGAGATTAAGGCATAAGCTACAAGATCTGCATATCCAAGTCTCTGAGGTGGTTTTATGACTCTTCTTTGCCTATCTCTCGACAATAGGTAGTCATCAACAGTTTCCTCAACATCATCAGAATCTTCTGTTTCTTCTTCGACTTCATCTGGGATACGCATTTCAGCATCAACATGCTCCACCTCAACAGGAATCTCTACCTGTTCCAGCTCTTCGTCAACATCATCAGTTTTCTTGAAAGCCATTTCAGTTTCATTGAAAACTACATCTCGACTGGTGATACACCTCCTGTGACCTGGCTCTAGGCACCATAGCTTATAAGCTTTCACTCCTTCAGGGTATCCCATAAACATGCATTTCAGAGCTCTAGGTTCGACCTTGTCTTGCCTAATGTGAGCATAGGCTACACAGCCAAATACTCTTAGTTTGTCGAGATCTGGTGGATGTCCCGACCAAACTTCTTCAGGTGTCTTCATATCTAACGTTGTCGAAGGACATCTGTTTATCAGATATGCTGCTGTCGAAACAGCCTCAGCCCAAAACACCTTCTTTAATCCCGCACTAGTCAACATGCATCTAACTCTCTCCAAAATAGTTCGATTAAACCTTTCAGCCAAACCATTTTGTTGTGGAGTACCTGCGGTAGTTCTGTGCCTTGCAATACCAGAGGCAACACAAAAACTGTCGAACGCCTCATTGCAAAACTCAAGGCCATTGTCGGTTCTTAACCTCTTTACCTTTCTGCCAGTTTGATTTTCGACAAGAGTCTTCCAACTTTTGAAATTCTCAAAAGTTTCATCCTTAGTCTTCTGGATGAATACCCATAACTTTCTGGAATAGTCATCTACTATGGATAGAAAATACTTTGCTCCTGAATGTGATGGACACCTTGCAGGCCCCCAAAGATCAGCATGGATGTAATCAAGGGATCCATGTGTTCTTTGTTTGCCTTTGTTGAACTTCATTCTACAGGACTTTCCAAGTACACAGGGTTCACAAAACTTCAGCTTTTCGACTTTATCTCCACCAAGCAGATTTTGTTTCCCTAATTCAACCAGACCCCTTTCACTGACATGGCCCAATCTCATGTGCCAAATTTCTGTTTTCGACAAAGGTTTCGTGGATGCAACATTTGTCGAACCACTTACAACTTCAGCCTCAAGGGTATACAAGCCTTGTTTCTTCACGCCTCTCAAGACTTCCTTCGACCCTTTCATAACTCTTAGGATACTTTTCTCTCCTTGAAAAACATATCCTTTCTTGTCGAATTCACCAAGAGAAATCAAATTTCTCTTCAAATCAGGTACATACCTGACTTCAGTCAACAATCTTATTGACTCATCATGGAGCTTGAATCTCACAGATCCAACGCCTGCAATCTTGCAAGCTTTGTTGTTTCCCAGCAATACAGATCCACCATCTTGATCACATAATTCCTCGAACAAGTCTTTGTTTGGAGTCATGTGCCAAGTGCATCCAGAATCCATAATCCATTCCTTCGACGAGTTTTTGCTTGAAACCACAAGAACATCAGATGATTCGAAATCATCTTGGACAATAGCTGCGTTGCCATTATCCTTACCTCCATGATCTTTCAGGCGTTCAGGGCACACCTTTCTTGTGTGACCTACTTTCTTACAGTGATAGCATCTAATACCAGATGCATCACCACTATAAGACTTCGACTGATTTTTACCTTTCCTCTTGTCGAATTTTCCTTTAACAGCCAAACCTTCACCAACCGTCGAAGGTTTATGCTCCTTACGTTCGTTCAAGTCCTTAGAGTACAAAGCTGATTGAACTTCTTCAAAGGTCAGGGACTCTCTTCCATACAAGAGGGTTTCTTTGAAGTGAGCATGTGATCTGGGCAAAGCGCACAATAATAACAGCGCTTGATCTTCATCATCAATCTTTACATCAATATTTTCAAGATCAAGAATCAGCTTGTTGAACATATCCAACTGCTCAGCCAACACTTTGTCTTCAATCATCTTGAATGAATACAAAGCTTGCTTCAGGTAGAGTCGATTTACCAGAGATTTGGTCATATACAAACTTTCAAGTTTCACCCATAACCCTGATGCCGTCGTCTCCTTTGATACCTGTCGAAGAACCTTATCACCAAGGCTCAACAAAATTGCGATGTGTGCTTTCTCGATCATGGTCGTCTTCTCTCTTTCTGTTAACGCAGCGTCCATCGCCGTCGCTCCCTTCAACGCTTCCAAACAACCCTGCTGAACCAGTAGGGCTTTCATCTTCAAGCGCCATAGACCGAAATCATTCACTCCGGTGAACTTTTCAATCTCATATTTTGTTGAAGGCATCTTCTCCACGCTCACCGCACCAATTTGTTGTGAATTCAATGCCAATAACAAAGTATAGAATAAGGGAAGAATAAAGAACAATGAAGGAGAAGAACACAAGAATTGGTTATAACTGCTATTCTTTACTTTCTCTTAGAAAACAAGATTACAAGTTTACAAGAATAACAAATAACCCTCTCACCCTAAATTAGGATTTGCTGTGTTGCAATG